GTGTGGATGTGGCACTTTGGGACATGGTTTAGCAGACATGGTGGGGTTGGGTTGACGGTTGGACTTGATGATCTTAGAGATCTTTTTCCACCCTTAAGGATTCTATGATTTCTGTTCTATGATGCTGTGTGAGCACTGCGTTATCAACACTGTTTTCAGCACAAATCCAAAGCATAACCTGAGAAGAGCTACTGTGAAGAAATCTGACTCAATCCCAGCGAAAACAAGTATGTGTGTGCAAAGCTGTTGCTCGTATGGAAGAATTCTTGATGATAATTTTGAACCTCTTGTTTGGTTGGTAAGACCGTCGTGTTGTAAACCTTCCGGAGGCTGCATTGGGGTTGTGCTGTCTCTTTTTGTATTGAGATGTTTATTTGGTCATATTTACTTGCATATGTTTATGACGGTCATTTCCAGCATTTCAAGAAAGTTAAACTGGAATAATTAAAATTTCAGCATGTGGAATCATGTTGACTCTGCCTTGTGTAAACAACTGAGTTGCTGACACCTTCGGGACGCTAATCGTATAGCTCATAGTCCTCTGCTTTTGGAGCTTACAGGGTGAATAACACTGGAAGGTGGCTGCTGTGCAAATAAATCAACGTTTAGTGATGGCTGCAGCCATGTACTCTATCAGCCACTTCCACCACCACTTGGTAGAATGAGAAGAAGTACAGAGATTCAGGGACTTTAGGATCCTTGCCAATTTCCTTGTATTCTGGTGGTTCAGGATCCTGCTCTTCCAGCATTTATTACTCCCCTGCAGTTCATCTGCCTTCCAGCTTTTTGCAGCTGTATGGAGTATGCTCTAGGCAAATAGGTAAATTTTGTGGAAATTTTGCTAAGTCTGAATAAGTCTATATTAAATGTGTGCAAAAAGCAATTTTTACTTGAGGAGATCTGGGCAGGCCTTAAGGGTAATGTTGAGAGGCCCACACTGCTAAGATGATCCTCTGGTGAAATTTCTGATCTCTACAACACGGAGATGCTGTAGCTAGTGATTAACATCAGCAGAACTGAGCAGAAATTACTGTTTCTGAAGCTCCTGCTCATACAAGAGGTAGACATTTTTGCTGAACTTTTTCAGTATTATGTAATCGAAAGCAGACGGGAATTAATTGGCTTTCAGAGCTGAAGTTTGGCAAACTTATAAGCAGTTGAAAATAGGGTCTTATGAGTGAAGTACAACCTTAATTGGCACAGTTGCTACTGATGTCATCTGCAGTGCCCTGAAAGCAGGAATAGATAAAATCTAATTATAAAATACTACTGAGATTAAAGTATGTGTTTTTTGCTTTGTTGAGCCAGTGCAGAGAAGGGACTAGAGCCAAACTGTCACCCAGCCATCTCTTTGAAGAAGAACTGGGTCTTGCTCGGTCATCAGCCTCTAATAAATGTAACCCATACTTGTCCCTAGCTTGGTTGGGATGTCAGTTTACAGCAAACAAGACTCTTATTCATCAGTGTTCTAGTAGAGCAGTGCAATACAAAGAAGCATTCTGATGACTGCGGTTCAGACTATGTCCAGATAAACTTTATGGACTTGTGCTGTTTGAAAATACTTGTGGGTTTTCTTCTTATGTTGCACTTCCAGTGGATTAGCACTGCAATTATTTATAGCCTTTATTTGGAACATTTGCAGCATAGACTTAATTTCAGGTATTGCCAACATAGAACGAAATCATACAGTACGTTTTTTTGCCGCATTTTTAGGTGCATTTACACAATGAAGAATAATTGAAGTCAGTAGAAATCTCTGTATGTGTGCATTTGTTTCGAAGTCAGAATATATGATACGGTGTCTAGTTTGATTTAAAGACTAGCGCTGTTACACAGTCACAGGCTCAGTGGTCCAAACTTCCAGTACCACTTTGCAGACAAGAACATGAAATATGTATGTATATTCCCTTAAGTGTGTAAAAGTCTGTTTAGTTTGGTTGGTTTGGGAGTTGGTTTGTTTGTTTGTTTTAAATTTAATGGCCATTTGTTTGTGAATCCACCAGTTCCGTAGTTGCATTAATATGAGTGTGATGACAATGTAGCCTTGTTGTCTCATATGAAACCATGAAACCAGAATACTTCTGCTGTCAAGTTATTTTAAGTATTGCTGGGCATTGAGTTGAAGAGGCACAGAATACATGTAAGATATTTTGTGGGAGAATACTTAAGTTTGCTTGGAAAAGCAAGATACGTACAAATAAGTATACGTTCTCTTGGCAATGAACTTATTTATTGTAAATATTTCTTCAGGTGAGATAGTAACTTGTCTTTTAGGAAGCGTGCCTGCTGTAGCTAATGCAAAAAAAAAAATCACAGAAAAGATGTTTTTAAAAGAATCCTCTAAGTAATTGTACAGAATAAAACATTTAAAATAATCGGTATTTATTACGAGGAACCTGATGATGGTATTTGTGAATTAAATGGCGTGGTCTGTGTATGCAGTTGAGGATCACTAGGGCTTGAAACCGATGCGTAGGACAAACTGCAATTCCTGCATTTGCCTATGAGCAACCATTCAGCGAGCTTTATAATTTTCCCACTGTTCATTTCTGCACCATCAGACTGGAGTTGGTTCGACATCTGTCTGTGAAAGAAAGGAAATCCAACCCTCTCATCTAATTTCTTCTATTAGTCATTTAAACAGATATCAGTGAGGGATTCAACAAAATGCTGTGTTCAGACAAACAATGCATAAAATACTGTGTGCTTCTTTCATCCTCATTCTAACATCAAGTCCTCCCTCCAGTGGCTGCTGTCACAGTTTTTTACTTCGTCAGAAAGGACTGGAAATTCTCTCTCTCAAAGCTAAATTCAGATTTATTTGTTTATTTATTAATTTTGTTGCTTCTAGTTTGGCAAGTGAACCTGTTAATTTATCTACTCTTTCCTCAGCAGCAGTGTCTTCTATCCATTGTAGAGACAAGAATGCCAGGGATTCTTGGTCACAGCATTGATTTATCTGATTAGGGGATGGGGGTTAGTTTATCAAGATAAATCTGTTCAGATAAATTTTATGTTTCTTCCCTTGGGTTATAACAAGTCTTTGAGCACCTGTAGGTATTTTGTAACTGCATTAACTTTCCGATACCCAGTTAAGAATTTTCACATCTTGTGCAGGGAGGACTACCCAGTTTGTGTGACTAGCAAAATTTTCATCTCATCTGTCACTGTAGTTTTTTACTACTTCTAATAATTTTAACTGGAATGGATAATTTCTTTTCTAAATAATTTACAATAATGTACATGGTTTTGTGCAGCGAATGTAAAAACTGATCATCGACAATATTTTATATTTGGCCATCTTTTGTCAGTGGACTATTTGGAAGCATGTGAGAAAAGTCTTTAATACCATCCACATGTGTGAATTGACACTTGAGTCATTTTAATATTTACATTGACTACATTATATGCTGGAAAAGACAAAAAATGTCTCTGCAGTTTTTGGTGTTATTTTTGTTGATTACTTTTGTTATGATTCCTAACATGAGTAAAGTGTTAGCCAAAAGATGCGCATTTTAACTGAATCATGTTGAGTTGCATCATAGTTTTAAAAGTACACAATCTAAGAAGATCTTTCCTGGTGGAACAGGGTCTTTAAAAGACTTTTGGCAGCGTAGTGTCATTTCCCATCAGCTTAATCTGAACAGCCTTCTGCAAAGGCGGGTGTCAAAGTCACCCATAGGTCCGACTTGTAGAGTTGATTATTGGACCTTCTTGAACCCCAACTTAAAAAAACCAAACAAACAACAACACCCCCAACCCCCACAAAACCCTACTCTCAGTTAATAACTATTACCCCCTTAAATTGCTGCGTTTTTCCTTACTCTACAAGAAGGTGTTTCATGTGATAGGTTTTCTCTAAAGACAATAGAAAAATAGTCTGTATTATGCTTTATTTATTTATATTTTTTCCTGCTACCTTTACAGTGAACTACTGTTATTTAAAAGAAACCATTTTGGGGTCTTTCTTACAGGTGTGAGTATTAGGAACCCAGTAGTACAGTTGGTGAATCCTGTTACTCGTCGTTTGAAAGTTACAGATTGGTGCAGAGGTGCAGTTCATGCAGGATCATCCATGATAATGTATATTGGGGAGAAGAATAAAACAAATTGGTGGTGACTGACAGATGAAACAAATTACCAAAAAAGATGAAGCGGAAAAAGAATTCAACGCGCAGAAGTCTTTTAATTGGGAAGGAAGAAGTGGTGCTTGTGATGCGGTAGCTAGCTCCCTTGGTGTCAGAGTCAAGATCTAAGGGGTTGTGGATTTGAATGTCTGGGTTGCCTTCTGTGCAAGGGGAGAAACTCAGAAATATATTTTGCATGTAAATTCTCACGTTGGATATACTGAGGTTCATTCTGTCACTGGACATTTTCTGTATACATTTCAATGCTGATAATGCACTGTAGAAATCACAGTGGTTTAAAACTGTGTAATTCATGTAGTTTTACTAAAACAACTGTATAGTACAGTGAGAACAATAAAGTGGAGTTAACTGACGAAGAAAAGCCTTAAAGAATGTGGAAGTTCTGCTGCTGATGTTTTGTTTTTTCTTCTATCTGCTGCTTTGGACTTAGAAGTATGGTGCTTCGTCAAAAGGCTTATCGTTTACTGAGGTTACATCTGAATCACAAAAAAGAAGTATCCATTATTCAGATGTCCTTTTAGGATTAGGGAGAAGTTAGTGTTCATTCTCGTGAACCTGAATCTTTGACCAAACTTGATACTGGAGTGTGTGTCACACTTTGCTGTCAAATGTCTTAATCCAGGATAGTGTGATGAGACTTTACAGTGTCCAGTGTAAGTTTTGAAGGAGAGGAAAAACTTAGTTTTGGTTTTACCTTACATATCATAGGGTTTATAATGCTCAGAGAAGTTGTGCTTTTGGAACAATTTCTGGTTTTTTATGATGTAAGCACTAGCAAATGAGATCTGTTGAAGTCAGTAAATTTGTTGTTTTCCAACTCTTGTTGACTTTCAGATTGTTCTTCGAAGATCAATGTGCATTTACCTCGGTATTTTAAATCTGTTGACAGTTTGTGTAATGATGGCTCAGCTCCAGCAGGGAGGCCCAGATGAAAAAGAGAAGACTACTGCATTAAAGGGTATGAGTCTTTTTGCCTTCTTTTTACGTATATTGACATTTCAGAAACACTTATTGTTAAGGAAGGGAAAATAGTTTGATGTAACTGTGGGTTAGAGCCTGAGAGTTGCAATAATGGAAGAGACTATTAGTCCATCTGTGCTAATGTTTTTTGTCTAATGGTGTGTCCATTATCAGTATTTTCATAAGATGATATAAAGAATAATGATCTGCGGTAAGGAATAACAGAATAAGATATCCATTTTTTTTTTAATTTTAATAATTATCCTTTGAAAAAGTTGGCTAATGCTTTTGTGTTCTTAGTTTCTGGGAGTTGTCATTTAATTTTTATGCCACTTATGTTTTATAATTATACAATCATATTACAGCTTTTAAAAATCTCTGACTAAAATGTTAGCAGGGAAGAGATTTTCAGGACATTGATTTACATGTTGATTTTATAAATTTTTCTTTGTATTCTATGTTTAAAAAAACTAAATGGACCTAAGTGACTTAGGGGAGTAATTTTCATGAGGGAAAATAAATTAAATAAATCACATCTCTGAGACACTGTCAGTTATGGAAGTACATGCAGTTGGTCAGACATACAAGTAAGCTAAGCAGACATTGGATTTAAAGTGTGTGCATCACACATTTACCGTCTAAGTTGTCTTCTGAAAGAGAAAAAAGAATGCACCTTGCAACTGCAGTGTAAAAATTGGGTTTCTACCGAAGTATTATTAGAAATATATGTTCTATTATACAGTGATGGTACATGATGTTTCTTCAGTTAAAACTCTGTATTTGTGAGACTTTTGGCGAAAACCTATGTGATGCTTTTTTCAAACCTTGTACTATTTCTGTTAAATTAATATATTTTGATTAAATTATACTTTATGTTTGGAAAAGTAAAACTCCCATGTTATAATTGGCCTTAGTCTGGTCTTCATTAAGAGTTAGTGTCCAAGAAGTATTCCACATAATGTAAACTTTGTGTGAGGATATTATTTTCTTCATGTGATCTAGTGAACTGCCACTAAGGTGTAGAAGATCTCCTGCAGATCTCCTTTCTGGGCTCTGTTGAACTAGTCTCGAATTGAGCTGCAGAGTCCAAGACCTGAGGTGAAAACAGTGGATCAAATCTTGCAGGAATCTCAAAGTTACGAGAACACTTTTGCTAATTTTAATTTGAAAAATTGCACAGGAAGAAAGCAGCTATGTTAGCAGTTGGAGGACAGGCCAGCTGCCATCTTCCTGAGTGACCCTGATGGAAGCTGTAAATCATGACAGTACTCAACATAGTTCGTATAGCACTGCCCTTGCTACTCAGGGAATGGATGCTTTATTACATAGCAACTGACACTTCTGTATGAACACATTTCCAAATAGGTCACAGTAAGAACAGGTGAAAATGCTGGTGAAATTAAATTCTAGAGGTGTGGTGTGATTGGCGTATCTTCACCGGAGAGAGAAAGACATGCTAAAGACTATTTTGCTACCTTGACATTGTGAAAGTAAAGAGGAAGAAAAGGCACACTTTTTACATCCTGTTGTGAAAAACTTCTTTGGCAAAGTTATTTTCTTTCTCCTGTTGTTTGGTTGAGGACCAGCACAGTTCCCCCAGAACTTTCAAAGGGCAATGCACAAGAACAAGCATATGATTGCGTATGTGGAGTGGATGTCACGGGACTTGCTATTAAACACATTTGATGTAAACAGGAGCTATGGTCACTTTCACAAAGAAAAAGTCACACTTAGAAATCTGCCAGTCAACGTCTGATGTTGTGTAGCTGTTTAGATACCACAGAGATGCTCAGATACCGTAGTACAGGCTGGAAGGGTGTTGAGTTTCAGTGGCCATACAAGGCGGCCTTTGGTCCTCCAGCTTTACCCAGTGAAATCCCCTACAGAAGGAGGAGCTGGTGGAGACAACCATATGCACGATGGCGTGTATGTCATGTGAACCTGAGGAGTTATAAAAGAGCAGAACAAGGAACTGTCAAGAAAGTTGAAACTGATTTTCATTACATTTTAAACACTACAAATTTGAAAGTATTAATGTACCAATGCTAAGCTTAGGTAACGGGGGTGACGTATAGGCTTGTCACTGGCAACAAGACTGAGCAAAAATAGTGATTGGAAACCTATTCAGTTCATAATTTTAAGTAGTTAAAGGATGAAAGTGTAGTTGATGTCAAAATGTTGTCTGTCCTTTGAGCTAACACTTTGGAAGGTGAAGGTAATAAATCAATGTACTTAGAACACCTAATGCATTTCCTGGGTGATACATGGTACCTCAAGAAGTCCGTGTAGCACTCCTGAGTGGAACGTATGTGTGGTCTTGAAACTCATCTAAGAGGAAGTAGGAAGGTGTTTCAGTGGAATGCTGCTGTATCGTTTGTTGAGTACGTCTTAACTAATAATCAGGAATTGTGAAAAGGATAGCATTGCGTTGTGGGGATGATGAGCAATGAGGAGAAGAAGGATGGTTGTGCACTATTATCTGTGTATGCAGTAATTGTTCTGTGGTTAGATGTAAGCAAAAAATGTCCCTATAGACTTGCCTCAGGTTAAGCGTAGATCCTGAAATCTAGGGTAAAGAATGCAGACTGTACTTATTTTAGTGTATTTGCAGTATTGAGTGCAGGCTGTACTAGGATGTACCATCTTTGAAAACAGGCAGTCTGAAAAGGACACGTGTGTCGTGACTCACTGTAAGGTGGATGGCAGTCTTCTCTACCTTGAGAGTTATTAAAGGACGGTGGTTGAGAGAAGGATTCCAATAACTCAGTCTGTTTGGGTATCAAAGGGAAGGTTAAGGAGTGCTGTGACCACAGCTGGTAAATGCCTCTGAGGTGACGTGCATTTGATAATCTGAGCTCTTCAAGAACGCAAAGAAAAATGTATCAATAACTTGATGTTGAAGCTAGACAAATTCGTGTTCGAACCACGATGCATACCAGAGGTGTATTTCTAACATTGAAGGTAATGAATCATTGAAACAAATCACTTGAGTGGCTTCTTTGTCCCTGGACATTTTTCGATCAACATTAGAGATAAGATAGGCAAACAAATAAATAAATAAAAAGATGTGCTGACTCTGGGGCTCCAGCTTTTTAATCTGCAGTGAGATTTCCCATAACAAAGTCCTGTATTTAGTTATATGTAAGATGTACTTCTGCCCTTAAGATCTACAAATCTGGACAAACACATTTTGCCAGTGATCACAGTGAAATAAAAAAGACATAGCATGCATTATGTAATTTTTCTTTTCCTTTTTTAGATTTATTGTCTAGAATAGATTTGGATGAACTAATGAAAAAAGATGAGCCACCACTTGAATTTCCTGATACTCTGGAAGGATTTGAGTACCTTTTTAATGAAAGTAAGTCGTATATGCTTTGTAAAGGCTATACTTAGAATAATGTTGAGAGGTTATCAGAACTTTAATTATACCTTATAAGACCTTATTAGAATTTCATACTTTTCCGTTAAGAATAACATTTTAAGCTTTAGTGTTAACAGTCTTGTAAATCTGGCTAAGTAAATTTTTTTTTCATAAAATTGTCAAAAAAATCCCTCATTTTATACAATACTGTAGGTTTGTGCTGTACATACTTTATGACTTCCTGTTTTCCATTACAGAAATGTTGATTTAAAAATTCTGAAAGTAGTTTCTGTAGTATTAGTATTAAAAAGTGGAATTAAAGAGCGGTCACTCATTTAAGAAACATTGTATTGAGTGGTTCATTTTTATGGATGCAAAATAATAGAATCATAGAAAGTTTTGGGTCGGAAGGGACCCCTGGAGGTCATCTAGTCCAACCCCCCTACAGCGAGCAGGGACACCGCTAACGAGATCAGGTTGCTCAGAGCCCTGTCCAACGTGGTCTTGAATGTTTCCAGGGATGGGGCCTCCACTGCCTCTCTGGGCAACCCGTGCCAGTGTTTCACCACCCTCATTGTAAAGAATTTCTTCCTTATATCCAGCCTAAACCTACCCTGTTTTAGTTTAAAACCATTACCCCTTGTCCTGTCACTGCTGTCTCTACTAAACAGATTGTCCCCATCTTTCCT